TCTATGATTCTATGATTCTGTTAGATGCTGCAGCTTCTAACCTGTAGGCATCACAGTTTTTATTAGATCTGCCCTGGGTAGAAGGAGGAACAAGGAACAAAAAAGTGAAGAAAAAAAGAATAGAGTAGAAACTATACTAAGATGAAGAGAAAAAGACTTTATGATGACTGTACCTCATAGCACTTTGTATATGTACATTAAGCCTTGTAGTGAAGTAGGAATGTCACATATTTTTTACAGATGATGAGGCAAAGCAAGATAAAGTAATTTTTCTAAAGCCTCACAGCAGGAAAATGAAAGAAGTTGGATTCTTTCATTGAAGGCTGGACATGTAGTTACAACACTGCAGCCTCTACAAAACTGGTGGTGCTTTTGTTAACACAAGCTGAATTGGAATTCTTCTGTATGCAGAGAACAAAATTTCAAGTAAAAGATGTTGTGTCACTTCAATTTTAGTTGTAGGCTAAGGCTAGGTGCAGACATTAAAAAAAACCCAAGGCAGAATTGATCTAAGTTACACAGTTTTCTTTAAGCAGTATAGCATAGATTACATTGGTAGAGAACAGGACACACATTCACCTTTTGGTGGGAGGGGTTGGAATCTTAGACCAGGTTCCACAATTTCTAAACCAGTCTATGGGCACGTCTACATGGCTAGGGACAGACATTACACATAAACTGGTTTAAGTGATCAGAAACTGGTTTACACTTGTAACAGAAAATAAGTTCAGTACAAAGGAACCAGTTTCAAAATGTCTCAAAATAGTTTAATAGAATGGTTTGCAAACTTTTTTAGTTGGTGTACCCCCAGCAGCCAGTTGAGAAGCAGGGAGTCTCCTGGCCAGTCGACAAGTGGGGTGGGGGGGCAGGTCCCTCAGTGGCCAATCAATGAACAGGGGAGGTCCCCCCCGGCAGCTAATCAACAAGCGGGGGGGGTTCCCCCACAGCAAAACCGGAAGTGTCCCTGCTTCTCTGTGCCACTGCCACGTACCCCCTGGGGCCTTCCAAGTACCCCTAGGGGTCCACATACTCCTGGTTGACAACCCCTGCTTTAAGATAAAACTGGTTGAATCAGACTTAACTGACTTGCATCAAACCAGTTTATGCAATGTCTGTCCCAGACCCCTTCC